GAGAGAGAGAGAGAGAGAGAGAGAGAGAGAGAGAGAGAGAGAGAGAGAGAGAGAGAGAGAGAGTTCAGGACAATGGACGTATGCTGAAATGGGAAGAATGCGCAAGGAAGACATGTTGTAGGATTTTAGCAGCTAAACAAAAGAAAGACACATGTCTTCAGAGGGCAGATTGCACAGCGAAGACCCGAACCCACTGTGTTGACGGATCTGAAGGCCTTTCACCCCTGGACCACCTAGTGGTAATACAAACCTCCAGAGTCCAAACACCTCGGAAATCCAGTTCAATACGGTGACAGACACCTCTGCTGCTGGGCAGTGCTGGCCACTTACAACCTAAATTTAAGTTGAACCTTGCGAAGTCTGTGGGACAGCAGTCCTCCCTTAAAGTCCCTTGTTCTTTTCGGGAAAACCGTCAGCAAGGGACAGACTGCAAACTCCTGCTACCTGTGTCACTCTGACTGCAAAAGTCACCAGCTGCTGCGAAACAATAGCATGCACTGGTCTTTCAAGTACTACGCCTTGTGAGCAGCTACCCAGACCAAGACTKTTGTCGACGTATCTAACCTTGATGATGGTCAAATTCAGTCCAGAATGAACTAGTAGTGGTGTGAGGACGTCCACAAAGAAGAAACTGGTAGACTTATAGCTCGATCTGGCAGCCCGACGATGAGCTGAACAGGGAGTGCACTCTCCTCAGTAGGGGTTTTACTTAGAGGCCCTGGGTTTTGATCTATCCTCCTCTTTAGGTTCGCAGCCACAGTCAGTTGCCGAACTCAGTCTTATTTTACAACGGGTCRTAATGGGACTCAGTTTCCCGCAGGTGCAGCTCTCCCAACCAATAGACAGAGCCTTCAGACAGGGAGCGACTTAACGCTCACGCTGGTWTCACACCATTAAGTGGTGTTCCCCATGGAGTTTCACAAAAAAAAAAAGCACAAACAAAGACGAGATCCTAAGTTGTTAGGTATAAATTTATAAAAGCAACAGGCCAGTTGTGGAAACTGCCTCCTTGAAGTTCTCAATCTACTTTCAACGTTACGGTTACCTCTGTCCCAAGTTTGAAGAGACCGCYGTACAGTACAATGTCATATAACTTGACATAAGTGCCGTATTAAGCGGCGTCACAACTGCAAAATCTACCTCCTTTCTGAACTACGCTCGAAAATCTTTTTTTTTTTTTTTTTTTAATATGCTCCAATCTATTCGTGGGGAGCAGCACGTGCTGGGAAACGGGCCCAGCGTCCCTTATACTTGGAATACATTGATGATTGATGAAATTTAAGATGATTCGGGAATACTTCAGGATGATTGAAATAATAAGCAGGAGGTTGATATTGACTAGTACTCAGAATGCTTCTCTACTCAGATCTCACAAACTACCCTAACCCTAATCTCAGGTATCCATATCAACCAGCCAATCTCTACCGAGCCAATACTGTGTATCAACCAAGCCTCTACCCGGTCTCACACCCCAATTTAGCTAGGTTACAGGGCAGTGCCACCCACCCCAGCTCCAACCCTCGTCGGCCAGATTGTAGCCTTTGGTCAAGTATTATGATTGCCGTCCACCCTCAGCAATCCCCAGATCTCTATCCAAGGCCTCAAGCTCCTATGAAGGTTACAGGGCAATGGCCCAGCACCGGCCAGCGTCGTTCTGGCTACTACTCAACCTGGGCAAAAACAAAATAAAAGCTCAATTAGGAAATCAGCTATACTAGAATGTCACCTAAGAATTCGGATCTGATAATATTGGGATTCTGAGCAAAAATCCAATTGAGTGAGAAAAAAAGGTATTCAATTGAGGGACATCGGTGGAAGGCCACAAGTCTGTGATGATGTCAGGCTGTCACATTCTGCAGTTGGTGTTCCAGAGCCTTCGACAGGCATAGTAGGAGTTGCGAACAGCCACTGCGGGAGTTTCAAGGTTGGTAGCCCGACCGAGATGAAGGCACCCCAGTGTTGTGGCTCCCAAAGCAGGTTGTCGTCATCATCATCATCATCATCATCATCATCATCATCATCATCATCATCATCGTCATCATCGTCATCTTCATCATCATCGTCATCATCATCATCATCGTCATCATCGTCGTCTTCATCATCATCGTCTTCATCATCATCATCATCATCATCATCATCATCATCA